ATTTCACACATCGTTTTCCAATCATGTCAAAAATGTTTTCTGTGAAAAAGAATAGAAATGTATTCATCTAATTGGAAATTAGACTATTTACCCCAAGTCCACACAAATTAATTAAAAAAACAATATCACCTAACCTTTATTATTTAGTCTATTGAGTCTATTGTTTATGCTTAGCATCAAAGTCAACTTTGAGGCCAAATTGATAAGGCTGTTGACCAATTTGCAAAGATTGGTCTGTTCTGCAAAAAAAAAATACACATAGAAACTCTGAGTGTGAGTAAAAATGTTTGAAGTGTATTAAAGGGGGTGCACTGTATAGACACTATTGGAACAGCTCCTGGTTGAGTTGTCTTCTCACATAGCCTACTGATTCAACTAATGTGATCTCTTTGTAAGTTTGATTTTAAAATCTTTGGTTTCATTTACTCTGGTTTGTAAATGTATAATGCATTTGTAGATTTAGTTTATTTTGAAAGTTCATCTTCAGTCTTTACACACTAGCTGTTACAAAGAAATAAAACTTGGGTGTATGAGTTCTCTGCTTTTCTTGATGTGGAAAAGGTTTTGGAAGTTGGGACTTCCTGAAATGTTTGGTGGGGCGAGGAGCCATCCTCTCCTGTTTGCACCCCTCCCCTCCGGAATCCTGATACGTGGCTGTTTGGGAAAGCCGTGATGGTGACCCACAGTCTCCTGTGCTGCAGCTAGCGGATCCCTGTCCGGCCCGCAGCAGCTGGGAGCGAGGGGGGGAAATCAGCGGCGCAAGCCTGACTTCATCAAGTCGGCCTGGATGGCAGGGACACACTGGTGCAAGGACTGTCCAAATCACAAGGTATTAAAACGTTAAATTCCACTATCATGCTGAACTTGTGTGGCTTTTAGTCATGTGTTGCTGTTTCCGGAGACACGTAATATTAACGCTAACTTACTCTACTGACACTAGTTTGATTTTGAGTGATTGCGTAGTCGTAGCTAATCTTGTTAGCACGCTGCGAGTGTCTGCTGTCTACACAGATTTGGGTATGTTTGCCAGCTAACATTAGCTTGCTAACTTTCATTCACATATATGAGATTGGGCTAGTATAGTCGGTCGTTATCAGATGTACGTTTTCCATTTTATCCTACATTTGAGTTAAAGTTGTAGCAGTACAACTAAGTTACTCGCTAACTAAGTCTGCTGCTGCTGCAGAGAGTTAAATGATGAGCAGACTATTTAGATGCTTCAAGCTACAATAAATACAGATTAACCCCTGTCGCAATACATAAATAGATAATACATAAATAAACAATACTTAAATAAACAAGTTGCAGAGAGGTTGACTGTAACTTTTAACTGTTTACTTATTTAAAGTTATGCGCAGACTTTCTAAAGTTGGAGTCTGTTACTATTTCAGCAAGTGGATTAGTAAGGTTTTACTGTTACATAATAAGTCAATATCACTACTAAAATGTCCAAATAGAATTAAGTTAAATTTCTCACTAGTAACGTGATAGTTCTGTTGTTTGTCCATTTTTAAATCAGATGTAAAATGTACCACTCAGTTGCCTAAAAATCTCTCAAAATTCTTAAAAAAAAGTAATTGAAGGGTTATTTTCTGTTACACTTTCTTACAATGGTCCTAGGAAATGAAGGAGAGTTTGCTGCTTTGCTTTGTCATTTCTGATAAAACTGAATATTTCCTGGATCGAGACTTTCAGCCAGACCGAACAACAACGCCACCTGTTTATCTGCTTTGGACATGTGACAGTTATTTGGCAGAAACATACAAACCCAGTTTTTAACAATACAATTGTTTTTAGATATTGTTGGAGAGGCTTGATTGTTTGAAGTTTGCTCCTCTCCTCGTTTGCAGCGTTACTGGTTACCGGTGTCTTTTGGACCGTGGGACGGATGAAAGGTGGAAGCTGTGGGAAGCCCAGCTGGGCTGTAGCTCCTCTGATTATCCCAGTTACACTGCTGATGCTGACCTTAAGGGGGGCATTGAGCAGCCAGAAGATGACACAAACAGCGATGGGTCATGCAACAGCAACGGCTGCAGGACCAGGCCACAGTCTGATAGATGACCTCCCAGGCCTTCGGGCGGTAGCAGACTTCTTATCCAGTGAGAACGCTGATGTGTGGCTCCTGTCCCTGGTGGGCTCTGTTGCTGTAGGCCTCAGTGGGATTTTCCCACTTCTTGTCATTCCTATTGAAGCAGGAGCAGCACTCAAAACGGAAGGTAAGAAACGATGCCTGTGAAATAGTCGGTAAATCATGATACTATCGAATATTTAACTCAGAAGAATAACATAAATCAAGGCTATACAATATTTGATAACACAGCCCTAAATTATATGTTATGATATCCGTCAAACTGAAGAGAAAAAATTACAGTTTAATGTCAATATAATTATTACCATTACAATTTACTGTATTATTAAAGGCTTTTAATCGGAATCATTTTATAACTTTTTTCTTTAAAGTGAATTTTTTTTAGGAATTCCTAACTCAAAACACATCTGAATATTTCTTCGCTATGAACTAACAAAAGGCTGAAATGTTGAAAGGTGAAAGATTTCAGACTTTGAAGGTCTCCTCATTAAATAGAAGCACCTATCAACCACCAACCGAACCTGTCAGTGACAAACAGTCAGTGGTAGACCAAGCTGCGCCATCCTTTCAAAATGGGCATTCTGACTACCTGGAAAACAGAACATTTTCATTGACATCATCACAGTAAATCATTAAGGGGGATCGGACTTGAGTTCCTGTTCTATTAAAAACCATCAAAGTAAACCATATAACTTAAAACGAAAAAGCAACATTCAGGGGTTACCAAAGTCATTTTGAAACATTGTCTGTCAGCAAGGGTGTTGATGTTAAGATATCATTACGACATGAAAAATCTTGGGACTATTAATATCAAAGTTTCACTGAACGCTCATTCAGTAGTTACTAGATATATCTTTATAGAAACTAAAGTTATCAATAGTCTGGTATTCCCCTCCGCTGAGCAACGATACCAGAATTTCCACCACAGACACTATAGCAGTCCGTAGTGCACCCTGAAAAATTCCAGTACAGGAACAACATCTTTTCTGAGCAGTCCATGTTGATAACAGTTTCATTTAATCTGTATGTGTATTCTGGTACCAAAGTTGTGTTTCAGTCGACATATTAATGCATATTTTTATTTGTGCCTGAATAAAACAGATCAAATGCTTCTTCTCCAGGCCTAAGTTATTATAGGTCAGCCTGAAGCCTCAAGTGGCCACATCCTCAGGGACGTGGCACTCCAGATGTATTTTAAGCGGTAGGTTTTAAGTGGCAAGCTAACCAAAGGTTCGTCATTCCTGAGGAAACTCCTTCAGCCTAAAAAAAAAAATCAGGGGAACACTAAATAAAATGTTGCTGTGTTGTTTATGTATCACTTTTATGATTATATGTCATATTTTGAGCCCGAAATTTGCATTTGTGGCTGTTATCGTAAGTCAGAATAAAAATTGTTGACATTCAATTTACAATTCTTTATCATCATTTTCCAACAGACATGGCATATAAATACAATTGCTGTTGATATGTCAGACTAAACCAGAATAATCGATTATGGCAAAAATCCCAATTAATTTGATTGATATTGAGATCACCATTATTAGACATGATTACTCATTGATTTTGCATCACATGCATTAATTCAACTTGAACATACTTAACGGCAGGGTTTGTAATTTTCTCCAGATACACTTTTTAAGATTTTGCTTGAAATTGTCTTTAGGTCCTGACAGAAATGAATCATACATGTGCTTTAAAAAAGGAATGAAGAAAATTTTACATCTGTAGCAGTTTTAAACTTGTAAAAACTTCGACCATTGTCTGCCACGAGGTACCAATTTGATGAGCCAATCACGTCTCCCTGCTCGTACTCTACCCCTTGCGTGCACTAGCCCACACTCAAAGCACGCCAGCTATGACAGAGTTTATACTGTGAGTTTACTCATGAGACAACGTAGTTTCTACACAATGCGAGCAATGAGCTGAGGTCTGCTTTATGAGCGACGGTGCCCGTGCATATGAGTGAGGGGCGTGGCTTTTGAGGGACCTCAGAGGGGAGGGGGTGGGTGTAGACAGAGCACTTAGGGAATGCTAAAAAAATGTTTTTACCAGTCTAGTATTACTGGTCTTTTCATCTTATATTATTGTCTTGGATTAGGAGCCCCCTGGTGGCAGAATGTATATACTGTGCCCTTTAACATTCTGAACACTCTGAAAAACAAACAAGCATGGTGATTTAACCATGGGTTTGAAGTAGTGGTGATGTACTCTTGTGGCCAAAATGTAACAACTAACACTTTGAATCATTTTGTCAACCACACATGACAAAACCTGTGTGGACAAAACAAGTACAACACGGCATGCAACAAAGTAATTATTTAACCTCGATTATCTTGTTTTCATGATCATGGGAAGCCAAAAATTTTAGTTGAAATCAAACTCGATTAACTTTCCAGCTCTAACGTGTAGCATGTTCATTAGTAGAACACGGACAAATATGAGCAGAGGACAGATTCGGGCATGTACAAGCAGAGCAAATTAAAATCACCACAGTCATTTCTTACTTTTTCTTCTGTTGTGGGTGTTTTCTTAGCTGGGTGCCAGAAGCTGAAGCAGCTCTTGAGCTTTGCTATTGGTGGTCTCCTCGGAGACGTGTTCCTTCACCTCCTTCCAGAGGCGTGGGCCTCAGGCTCTTCAGGCTCTTCAGGTGGGTCTCCAACAATCCACCAATACCTCATCACCATCGATTTATTCTAACTTTTTTTTCTTTGGTACATTCTTCCCTCATGAACATCTATGAAAAGCGATACAATTGTATTTGAGATGTTGACCCTCATCAACCAATTATTAATCACTAATCGACAATATTGAAAATGTGTTAAATTAACTCATATCTATGAACCCTTTAAAAATTACCATCATTAACAATTGTGGTTTCTTTTTGGAGCACAGGGTGTATTTTGAGATGTACAAAAAAGCCTAAATAAAAGAATATGAGGGTACACACATGTACTTAACGCTACTGTGGAGTGCTGTCAGCTTAAAAAAAACAAAGTGAGAGTTCCTAACATACACTTTGCGAGCAAACTAGCATTTGAAGTAAGTTTAATATTAGTCCAGATTTACTGTGAGCGACGCTGTAGTGCTGGAGAGTGCTTGTGAAAATTAAGTGCAAGTGCGATAAACTTAGTAATAGTCCAAGGCCGAGGTTCTTTCATACATGCAACACATCTCTCAGCGTGTTCAAGGACACACAGAGCAGGTTTGGAGTTCTGATATCTTCATTAAATAAATGACAGTTCATACTGTATTTAACTGTAAACAAATATGGATTTCTCGTCTCTCTATGAGGATGCCCAACCTGCTCTGTCTGGACATTGATGCTTGCTGCAACATTTATTTAGCTAAAGATAGAATGTCATATTTTTCATTTCTTGTCTGTATTATCCTTTTCATTTAAAAAATGAATGACATGAAGTAACTGAATTCCTTTATTTTAATTTAAAAAAATTAACTGTTTAACTGACCGCATTAATTGGTCAAAAATCCTTTTGTCGGTTATCGGTTGAACTGTTAATATTTAACATCCCTAAATGATAGCAAATTGTTTATTAGTTTGTCATTGATTGTATTAATAGTGAGTAACATCAGTAAATCTCATCTTGGAACTGTAGTTCTTCAGATATGATATCAGATTGAAAATATATTAATAATGCATAACATTGCTTTCAAAATGTGAATATTTAATTGAATTCATGATTATTTAATGCAACTTTGGTTTGAGTTGTACTGTGTTGTTGGTTGCGCTAACTCTCACCCATGTAGTAGCTCAGTTTTCACCAGCTGTATTTGCTCTTCCAGTCTGATGAAACGTCTCTCTGCTTCCAATCCAGCTGGTAAACAAAACCACTACAAGACCCAGGGCCTCTGGGTAATCGTTGGCCTGCTGGCTTTCCTGCTCTTAGAGAAGTTGTTCCCAGACCAAGACAGCCAAGAGGATCCCACTTCACAGTCTGACCTGAACTTCAACACTCCAGTAAGTGTTTAAGCTGTATGTTTTTAGAGGGATATTCTCATTGCTGTCCAAAGAGTCTCACTGCACACAGACACGTCAATACATGCCTTTGAAAAAATGTGTTTCCATGGGTATGCTTGCAGGGCTTCTTGTTCGTGCTAAGTCGGCATTTTTCTGTCTGTCATATCAGTGTTTTAGGGACTGTAGCATCAGATGGTCTTCTGTACAATCACCCCATGTCATCTCCGAACCAATCTCAAACAGTGAAGAGTTTAAAAGAATAGTTAAACAATTTAGAACATGTGAGTCACTTTCTTATACAGAGTTAGCTGACAAGATCAATACAACTCTGATGCCATATCATTACTGTAGGGTTGCACCTTGCAAGGCAGCAGGGAGTCACTCTGTAATGTGACTGGTCAAAAAGATATTCCAGCACATACCATCCTACCCAGCCACAACACGTCTTTTTTACGCCTTGGTTTTTATAAGAGATTAAAATAAAAACAGTTTTTGTATTTCAAGTAAACTAAAGAGGTGCAGGCAAGCAGATCCACACTGTTGACAGTCTTTATGCTAAGCTAAGGTAACAGATCCACACGCTGTTTCCAGTCTTTATGCTAAGCTAAGGTAACAGATCCACGCTGTTTCCAGTCTTTATGCTAAGCTAAGGTAACAGATCCACGCTGTTGACAGTCTTTATGCTAAGCTAAGGTAACAGATCCATGCTGTTGACAGTCTTTATGCTAAGCTAAGGTGACAGATCCGTGCTGTTTCCAGTCTTTATGCTAAACTAAGCTAACAGATCCACGTGCTGTTTCCAGTCTTTATGCTAAACTAAGCTAACAGATCCACGTTGTTGACAGTCTTTATGCTAAGCTAAGCTAACAGATCCATGCTGTTGACAGTCTTTATGCTAAACTAAGCTAACAGATCCATGCTGTTGACAGTCTTTATGCTAAGCGAACATACAGAAAGTTAAATTGTATTGATTTCATTTAGTTTTTTGAAAAGTCAAACTGTTCCTAAATAATAAATGAAACGTATGTTATTATCAATGAGCAAACTAAACCTTATAAGATGTTGTTTACTTTGTCTAAAAAGTTCATCGTATAAATTATTTTACTGTTGCTTTTTCAAGTGTTCTAGTTAGAAACTTGTCCTAATTAGCATCCATGCTAACAGTATGTTTATTGTTTAGAAACAATTAATTATACAAAACGACACATGGTGTCTTTATAGATAATGAATGGCCGGTTGCAGTTTGTTTTGTAGTGGTCGTCTCATCCTTCCTCTTGTCTTTGTTTTGCCAGTGAGGGAAAAGATTGGAGCTCAGCTTCTTTACTCTTGTCTATTTATAGTGCCTGGGTGAAGCAGCTGCTTTAGCCATTTCAGTGTCCACAGGAGAGCACTCAGCTCATCAACACAGGCAACAATAGACGAGAACAGAGTTGTACAGTTTGTTTGAGAGAAAGAAAGGGATGTTATATGTATTGTATTCTTTGAAGGACTGTGACTGCTATAACATGTGGAAATTGTTTCACTTGAAATGGGTCAGTATTTTTGTTGGATGCATTTTGTGTGGAAAGATTTGATCATTTTAAAAAATCTGCGTGAAACAAAACCCAACGTTGTTGTGCTTTTACTACCTAGGGCCAAAGAGCTTTACAGCAGAAGGAGACGGACATTCCTAAATATTCCTCTAATGTTATTACTTTGTCATGCTTCAATAATGGTCACGGAGCTACATATTTATCCCACGACTCTGTGACAGCAGGCTATTTCCCTCTCATTGAATTTTAACTATCTGTCTAAATGGCAACCTAAGTGGTTTTCTTAATAAGGGAAAAGGGAAGTTGGCTGTTCTCGGAAAAAGAAGGCTATAGCCGCAGATAAATCTGTGTCTTCCTTTAAATTCCAAATATATAAACAAGTTAACCAGTGTTGGAATTGCAGAGTCATCTGTTTTGTTTCGAGAAATAAATCAGAGGTACATTTTTTCTTGTTACAGCATATGTTGGGAGTTAGAAAAATCATCAGGGCTTTTTTTTATAGCAGCTGTTCTGCGGGCAGGGGGTGAACCCTTTGACACACAGTTGGAGAAACAATAAAAAGCCTCTTTATTACACTGTGGAGTTCAGGCTACCATTTACTCACTGTTTTTGGTAACACTGGTGGATAAGGCAGTTTACTTTCAGGGAGAAAAGCTATTGTTATTATTATTAATATTATGTCTTCATTCAAACTCTGAAAATGAGGGCTATGCGCTCAATGATTTCTATGACTGAGCAGACAAAAATATTAGAATGCAAGATAAACATGAAAAAAAAGACTAGTTAAAACAGACATAGAATTAATAAGCAATGTTAACATCAAAATCAATTCAGACAGGTGCAATCAGAGGTTAAGAAGTGAATAATTAAGGATCTAAAATGACGATAAGAAATCATTGCCTTGGTCTTTAAAGTGTTTTGTAGTTATTTCCAAGCAAATGGTGCAAAAAAGCCAAAAGCAGATTCAGAATGAGCTCTAGGAACCTGCAGCAAAAAATAAATAAATAAATTGCGATATTTTAAAAAATAAATACAATTCGTTCAGATACCACTAAAGGAGATGTCAGACAGACTTGTTAATAAGTCATGGAAAACAAGAACACTGGCTTGGAACAAACTAGTGGAAAAGTGGCAGCATGACGTGCCTTGGGGTCACATGATTGGCATGGCATCTGCTATGAAGTGACTATTGCACATCACAATTCTTATTTTTTTTTTATTATGAAGACAGAGACAAAATACAGTATAACTGTACACAAACAACCAGCACACCACATTACAAGTACACAAAGACATTTTGCCAGAGATTATGTTACAAAAATATAATAGCTTGAACAGAAAAACATCATCACTGTTTCTTACAAGGTGTTCTGCCTCTTTAAACACTTATTCATTGAATATTTAAGCTAATTTAAACTATATTCCTCTTATTTATATATTCTTTGATGTGTATCCATGGCCCATCAAGGTCATCATTATAAAGCCCCTGCAGGGCTGAGGCTGTTCCTTCACTATAAGCTCCTAGAAGTCCTTCAGCCAATTATTCAAACCACAATTGCAATCTTAAAACGATATATCGTTCAGCCATAGGTAGACTAACCATGAGCTACCTGTGTGTGAAACGTTGGTATATGCTCCTGTAGTAGACAGGTTTGTATGATATCAACCTCGTTTTATGAAAAACGGTTTATTCGCAATATCACAGAAAGTAACTACACTACCTAAAATCATAGTTTCACAGCGATGTCTCTGATTTGTATAGCTCGCTGTTACCATGGCAATGTTTCCTGTCCCTCTGTGCCAAATGGAAACTAATGGTTTTTCTAGCTGGTTAGTTATCTAACACTTGATGTACTAATAACCTTGTCATTGTAGTGAATGTAATTTATATATTCAATTTTCAACAACACAAACTACATACGAGTACGACACTTGTGTAAACAATATCAACTCTAAAACAACTAAACATTTACATTAAGGAAGAAGCAATATCATTCAAAATGGACTCTTGATGAAAAATTATGTACAAGGTCTTGTACCGTTGCCTTTTTTTCCTAGTTTTTCAAAGCCGTTTTGGCTAAATGTGTTATAGTCACAAGTATAGGGGTAGCTGGTTGTCTTGGTTCCAGTTTAACCAATTAACCCTATCAGGAAAAGACAACGATGTACAGTGTATATCAGGACAAAAGGTTCATCTTAGTTCACCTCGTCATGTTTCTCTCCTTTTTGTCCTCAGACACAGACTAATGCAGCTCTCAGTGGAAAGCCAGTGGTAACACTCAGAAATGGGCACCATGCAGAGTCATGGAAATCCTCCAAGCAACAGGAACAGGAAAGATCAGAGAAAATCAAGGTAATACTGACAACACAAACATCTCCCAGTTAACATGAAAGACAGAGTGATGAAGAAAAACGAACACCACTGGGGGTAAACTCTTGACGTGGGCTGGTTACAAAAGATGCATTTTGTGCTTCAATCCAAATGTATGAAGTTTGTCATAACAAGGAACTCAGAAACCAGAGAGATCAACTATACACACTTCAGTGGCATTTTTACAGTGTGTATTTCATCATGTTATAAAACAGGTTCTTAATAAGATATAAAGACTTTCAGTACTGATGGTCTTCACCATCAGAATATGGCACCTGAATAACCCCTACTACATTGATTTGCTCATCCAGCAAATCCCTAGCACTGTTTTGTACATTGCATATTTACCACACATGATATGTATAACTTTAATCATTTTTGTTAACATATTTATCTATTTTTTTTAATCTTATCGTATTTTTTGTTTTTGCAAGAGTTCAAACTGATATTGCAGTCTAGTAGGAGAGTTAATTGAGAGAGAGTCCATTTCTCCCCTTAGTTAAGATTTTGTTCTTTCTCCAAAATCGTGTCGGGCTAATTTGGATGTGTTATTTCCAAGCGAAAGGTGCAAAAAAGCCAAAATCTAAGCTGAATACTAAAACATGATTAATAATTCAATGTTAAAGAAAAAGAAGGATTGATTAAACCACATTACCATGTACGTAACAGCTCAAATGTTTTATACTTTTACACAAACACTTGTGCAAAATCTCCTTTCTGAAATAAGTGGACTAAAGAGAGAACAGGACAGGTTTAAGAGGATAAATAACATTTAGTTTGCATTAACTCTGAGAGCTGAAGTCTGCAGACTCTCTCAGATTACATTGAACTAGATGCATGTTCACCCTGCACTATTCAACGGTTTAAAACTGGGACTGCAAATTCCTGGCACTTCACCAGCAGCACTATTTTTGTATTGTTTTTTTCCGTGTCTTTGTCCTCTTACGCTGATCTCACACTCCAGGCTTCCTGCTCCGAGTGGATCATTTACAGTATCATGTTAATCGGGTCAGACTACAAAACTTGAAGTAAATTTAGCTGCCGACAGAAGATCTGTGAAGAATAAATGATTAACTATGAAAGGTAAAATTCTTCAAAGGGGAGTACAACAGATCAGATTTAACCAGAAGTGAATCAGAACAGACAACTTTATGACTGACATCCCTATTGATCACACTCCTTCCAGTTTTGATTCATCCTGGGTATTGTAAGTAACAGTAACAGTGGTTTCTTATCTCACAGACCAGTGGATACCTAAACCTGCTGGCCAACTGCATTGACAACTTCACCCATGGACTGGCTGTAGCTGGGAGTTTCCTTGTTAGCAAAAAGGTAAGAAGTTGTGACTATCTTATCCCTTAAGGGACTTATTTCTCCTCCAATGTGGTGTAAAAATATCTCAATAAGAGACCCTTCATCCAATCACCCTTAGCTGCATTATGGAGAAAGATAAATGTAGTTTGAAGATGAATTTGCTGGTTTGATTTTTTTCTCCTGGACAAAGATAGTCTAGATTTCTTTCAAAATAAAAATACAAATTAATTGATGCCAATTTCATATTGTATAGAGTTTCTGAAATTATAGATGTCAGAATATCAGTCACAATGACCACTAACTCCAAAGCTAAAAGTGAACCAAAAAAAAACCAAAACAGACCTTTTCTTGAGTTTAAGAATGCACTCACAGGCCCTGCTCATTGGTTCTAACAAAAAGAGAGAGGTGGGGATGACATGCAGCAAAGGGCCGAGGTTGGATTTGAACCCAACAGGGACTATAGCCTCCATACACATGCAGCATTACCACTAGGCTATCAGGCGCCTGATCGATGCCAAATTTATCGTCAACTTAACTGATCAGTGTAGTTATTCTGCTTGGAGTCGACAGTAGAGCAGAGGGGTTTTTGCTGAAATTGTTTATGTATATAACCGCTCTGGTTTAGCATATTACTTGTGTGAGAAAATGATTACATTTACAGTAAGTCCTCACATTGCATATTTATACACCGCCTCCTGGCTTTCATTTAGGATAATTGCAAGGTGAAATTGCTCCTCTGGGGTTGCAGACCATATTAGCACACAATGATGGGCTGAAAATCATTGCTAATAAATATGGTGCATAAACTGACACTGGGGCCTCTGGCAGCGCCACACGTTGGATATTAGATACTTAAGAAAGATAGAACTTCAGGGATTGGATTATTTTGACCCCAGTTATTATAACCGCATGTAGACCAGCAGTCTAGAAAACATACTTCCCTCATTTTATAAAAATTGAGAGTTCTTATTGTCTCTTGAGGTACATGTAGATAAATAACTGATACAAAGGGTTGTTTTAGTGAAAACTCAAACCCTGACCTTTAAGAGATAACGAACAACAAAGATATTTAAGACTGGTTTAAGCAGTCTTTCACTGTAAATATCTGCTGTAACATAGTTTTATATTTGATTGATTGCCCTTAAAAAGAAAGAGATTTGGTCAACGTTGGCGCAGTGGTTAGTACGCACGCCCCATGTACAGAGGCTATAGTCCACCATGAGTGCGGCCGGGTCCAAATCTCACCTGTGGCTCCTTTCCTGCATGTCATTTCTGACTCAATCCACTGTCCTATCTCTCCAATAAAGGCATAAAAGCCTAAAAAATCATCTTTAAAGATAATATAATTAAGCAGGGGAGCTCCAAATAGGCCTAAAATATGCAGAATTGTTCTGAATGATAGAAAAAGGCAGGTATGTGTCGGGCTAATTTGGATGTGTAACAGTTCCCTTTTTATGTACAGTGGGGCAACTTGCTGTAAACTGGCAGAGGAGTAGACCTGTTGTGTACTTAAATGTGGACCACTCAGAGGACTGTCCTCGCTTCACACAGTTACCTTTTTCAGTTTGAAACCTCTCATCGTAGTCTCTGTAAGGCTTGTTGAAAAAGGTGCACTTTAAAGTGCAGTAAAACAGATTTGTGTCCCTTCAGTAGGTTACTGTATATTTGTGGCTTTGGGACAGAGAGAGTCCAGCTGGAGAGACATAAGGCTAGCAGCATGAACTATGGATCAATGTGCCAGAGAGGAAGTTTACTTGATGTCTCAAACATACACATACAAGACATCTCACCGGTGCTTTCTGTTTCCTCTCTCGCACATTTATCACGATGTGATCACAGTATAATGATATATGAAAACGGTATGCTGCAACACAGAGTTTATTTAATATGAATAAGTCATATTCAGCACTTCTACTGGAATGACTACTTTATTGCTTTATGTTTTGTTATTTTCTCACTTTACTGTTTAAATAACTGGTTATATTTTAACTGCTGGCCATTTTAGCTTTTTACTCCCCCTCCTCTTGGACGAGAGTTGATATGATTACATCATCGGGTTAGGTTATGCTCTTTTTTTAAACACATTCTGATGCCACAGGATTAGCAGGCACTAACACTTGTGCATATTTTTCAGTTACAATTACTAAGCTGTTGTCTCAGATACAGTATTTTGAACTTTCTTATTTAAATTAAAATTTTCTTTTTTCTTTTCTTTAAGGGTAAAGTGTCAGTAAACAACGTCATGCCTCACAGCATTTTGGGGGCATTTTTTCCTCCTTTTGTTCTTCAATGAAGTATAGCAGCTGTGATGGATAGTTGGTTGGGAATGTAATCAGCTCACTCTTAAAAAGTTTGAGATGCATTTTGGCTGATTTGTGAAGATAAACAACACTCCTGAATTGACTCAAGCACAATTGTCAGGCTGCATTATGCTCTTCATTGAGGACTTTCTTGAACATATTTCCCCTAAAGGATTTCATTGCAGCCATTAGAGGCCAGTACATTATTATAGGCTTTTTAGCTGAGCCGATCTATTCCCAAACTTTTTGTGACCGTTCTATACGGGTACGAGTGTTGGAAATGCCTCCCATGTAGCCTAAAATGTAGTATCACATTTCGGTCAGTATTCACGATTCAATTATTCATCAGCTCCCAAAAAAGATGGACTTGTTTCTCATTCTCCAGTCCTGAAACCTACACCCCCAGAATCAGATTTATTGGCCAGGTATGTTTACACACACAAGGAATTTAACTTATGTACAGGTACAACATTAAATATCAACAATAAACATAATAAGAAAAGACTAATATTTACATGACTAAATCTGAAACAGTGCAGTGGTGAATAGTGCAAAAGATGCTGAAATAACATGATAAGTAAAATGCAGTTATGTGACAGATGGGTCAATTAAGATGTCAATTACAGTATTTACATATATATGTATATTCACAGTGACGGTTGGTTTAGAGTCATTTCACCGCAACAGGTCTGACACTCTGTGACTGTTTAGCGTTCATCGAGTGACAGCTGGGGGAAGAAACTGTTCTTGACGGGTTGTTTTTGCGCACAGTGTTCTGCAACGCCTGCCAGAGGGTAGGAGTTTGAAAAGTTTGTGTCCAGGGTGTGAGGAGTCTGCAGTGATACTACCTGCCCACAGAGAGCCAGCTGTTCCACCTCCCGTCTGAGCCAGGTTTCAGTGAAACATAGGGCGGCGGATCTGCGAAAGTCTGAGTTCCTTGTGTTTAGGAGCAGCATCTCGTCCGTCTTAGCAGAGAGCGGACATTCGCCAGATGAATTGATGCTGCCTCAGTTTAACGAGTGCTCCTGCTCGCTTTCCGCAGTGTCTCCGGCGCCATCCTTACATAGGAGAGCAATAATATTTACTATGGCTGCCCAAGACACCCAGGTGCACACCACATGATCACGTGACAATAGAAAACAAGTTCTGTTTTGAATTAAGTTAAATCACTCGTCTGATGGCTTGGTCTTTTTTTAAATTGAAGGTGAACTAAATTCAAGCAGGTTAAAAAAAGTCAGGGAGCAGAGTATACGTGTTTGACTGTATTAGTGTCAGAGGGCCACTTGGTACCAGACATTATTCAAGTGTAGGAACTGGAATCAGTACAAGAAAGGAAAAAATGGGACTGGAAAATCTCTATCATTAAGACCCGATAACGTGTGTGTGTGTGTGTGTGTGTGTGTGTGTGTGTGTGTGTGTGTGTGTGTGTGTGTGTGTGTGTGTGTGTGTGTGTGTGTGTGTGTGTGTGTGTGTGTGTGTGTGTGTGTGTGTGTGTGTGTGTGTGTGTGTGTGTGTGTGTGTGTGTGTGTGTGTGTGTGTGTGTGTGTGTGTGTGTGTGTGTGTGTGTGTGTGTGTGTGTGTGTGTGTGTGTGTGTGTGTGTGTGTGTGTGTGTGTGTGTGTGTGTGTGTGGTGTGTGTGTGTGTAAACACAGAGCCCAGATTGGGAAATACCAGATTAACCCTTTAAGATGTATTGTTCTACAAGCAGCTTTTTAAGTTTTTACTTAACTCTTTAGATGACTTAGTATTGTATGCAATGCACTGATTAACATAGAGTTTTTCTTGGTGCTCCAATGACCCTCCAAAGGCAAATGTGTGGCACATTTGGAAGTACAACACACATTTATTCACTGAGTAAAACAAAGAAGTGCTAATGAGACTTCTCTCACAGGTTGGATTCCTCACAACATTTGCCATCCTGCTCCATGAAATCCCCCACGAGGTGAGATAACAGAATTCTTGGTTAAACTGTACAATATAGTCTCTAAATGTTTGTTTAGAAGTTAACAAAGCCGTGGGAAGAATCAAACTGTTAGAGCGACTGTGACAAACATCATTGTTTGCAGGTGGGAGACTTTGCCATTCTGCTGAGGGCCGGGTTTGACCGCTGGAGTGCTGCTCGCATGCAGCTGGCCACAGCCCTGGTCGGGGTCCTGGGAGCTTGCTTTGCTCTGTGTGCTCAGTCACCGCAAGGCACAGGTTAGAGAAGACAGATTCTCAGTGTACATAAAACACACCATTGTTAACTCGAGACTGTTTTAAGATTGCAAGAATAAGTCGTGAGTCTCTCTTACTGTTTCTAGAAAACGCCACCGCGTGGATATTACCTTTCACTTCTGGAGGTTTCCTCTACATCGCCTTGGTGAACGTGGTGCCAGACCTGCTGGAGGAGTCCAGTTTGAAGTAGGTTTTGGAGGTTGTTCATACATATGATGTTAGTGATGTCCTGTGGAGGTATTTGTTTTTTTTAAAATGTGTTTTTTATTATACATGACATGTTTAATTATTGTCCTTCCTCATGAGACTTTTTTTTTACTGTCTTGCTATTTTCTTAATATCTGCCTCTTTTGATGCACCGCTTTGCAAGAAGATGTTAATACCATCAGCTTGGATGGAATGAAACCAGCAGCACTTCTAAAATACAGATTCATAGCACAACTTGTGTTGTTATTGATGACTGCATACAAAGTTACTCCAGAGTCACTCCTTCACTCCCATGTATTTTTGTTTGTTTGTTTACATGCTATGTAGTGGACAGTTACTGTACTCAGCTCTTTTTATGCAGATTACACACAACTCTTTTTCTCACTTGATAACAGCAGTAACCAAAGACCTGCTGTTTGACATTTTATTACACTTTTTTATTATTATTAATAGTGGACAAAAATCTCACATAGCACATTTATCTGTATGAGTTAAAACCACTTCAAAAATGTAAGAAGATGCTCTACTGGAGACAGAACTTTAAAGTTCCTGATTGAATACTTTTTAGAGCTGATAAAAATAGTTTGGTGGATGGCAAAAAAAAAAAAAAAAGATTTCTCTAACACCCTTGAACCTGTTTGATACTATTACCTCTCTTCTGCAGGCACTCCCTCCTGCAGATCCTACTCATCTTCTGTGGTGTGGCTGTCATGGCTCTGCTCTCTGCCATCGTTGACTGCACATAGAGGAACAGCACCAAAAACTCTCTCGCCTTAGCAAATACTTTTACCCAGCATGAGATTAAATCCTGTTCTTCCCCTGCAAGCCTGGTCCCTCTCATTCAGAAAAATGTGTCTTGCTTCAGCGATCAGACACCTCTGTGATATCATTGCCATCATGTTACAACAGAGCAAAAATGGGACAAAAGACCGGCACTTTATGGATGGATAAGTGATCTGCTGACGGGACATTTGTGTGAACACTTTAAGATGTGCCATACATAAACAACCGAGGGGATTCAGAGGGTTTGTATGGATTTCTATTACCAAATTGTCTTAAATTGTTGGTTGGACAATCATGTTATTTTGCACATACATTTACACAGGTACACCTGATGTACCTGATCTACACAAAGGTATTATAGGACCCCTTCAAAGAACCTCCTCTTTAAAGTGTTTAATCCTAAATTCTTGTATTGTTACTGTTGTCTTCTGTTTCCCTTGTAGATGCTGCATATTTATTTAAAGTTAGACAAGCGAGATACAGCTTTATCAGCGCCCTTCACCAACACTTCATCCTTTTGTCTTGTTACGAGGAAGTCAGGATGGTTTGTTACACGAGTGTCAGGACTAAACCAAAGTACTTTTTGTTTGTCTGTATCAAATTCACACAGAACAGTCTGCACCTTTTTCCAAGTTGGTGCTCACGAAGAAGTCAGCCTGAATATGTGTTTTAAAGTGTTTCTAATAAATTGAAAGAGATTTATACTATTAATATGGAGTTATACTTACTTACCAAGAGTTTTGTGAGATTGGGAAGAGACAATAACTGTTCACGTCACTGTTATGTTGATTCATCGCTTTTCGTAAAGTTTTGAAACCCGAGGAAATAAATAAAAACTCTTCAGCCATCTTAATAAAAAATAAATTGATAACGGACATTAAAGATGAAATAGCAGATTATATTCAGGATTAATCTTTAGTTTGTAAAATGTCAAAATTGGTCATTACTATATTCTGCATGCTAATGTAACATCTTCAGCTGCTTTTTTCCAACCTACAAGCCAAAGATTTTTTATTAAATTAAGTTAAATTAAATAAAAGACAAAGACGAGTAGAAGTTCTTGCATTTAAGAAACCAAAACATTTTTGACCTACTTTCTTCGATATAAATTATCAGCGTACAATCAAAACAGTTAGCAATGTTCTTTGAATTGACTAATACACTTATTCAGTAATCATTGCAGCTTTAGTTTCCTTATCAACTTTATGACAAAAAGGCAAAAGTAGAGTTCTAGCACTAACATTATTATAATCTCAGTGGGTTTAAGATGACCTGGGATTGATTGGGAGAGCTGTGTTTAAGGCCTGAGGCTGCTCAGTACATACTCTATAACTGCCCTCCCTGCACCATAATATTTCCATTGTGACCATTTTTTTTTACTGCAAAGATCCGATGCCTTAAATGTCATATGGTAGTGGGGGAGGAGGTGGAAGTAGGTTGGGTTGGTGTATTGATTGTAGGCTCTCACTTTTCAACACAGTCTGTTGGCAAGCTTCTGTTGCCATAACGACTCCACCGCGGGTTGCCTTCCTTAGTCATCAGCCTGTGAGCCGCCTATTGTCTGTGGGAGCCTTCCTCAGTCACAGCACAGAAGGACAACAAACAACCACTATGTGCACTGTGGTGGAGTGATAAATATTTCATTGATACTCAGCTGACAATCCAAAACTTCATACTTTATGATGAAAAATATAAACCCTGCCCGCTAGATAAGAGTGTCCTGATGATCCTAAAATTTTGTAATTTGCTTCTTTTTTTCCAATGCTGACGCTAAATTCAAAGCAGGGCTACACGTGTGAAAATGACGGTCTCAAACTTGACTCCACTAGTTATAATCTCAGGAAAAGAATCAGGTCGTATCAGTGTTTTGTGTTGTGAAGTGGTCCGGGGCCATCAGGAAACGGTTCCAATATTCTTGGTAACAGATGGTCTATCATTCACAGTGGCTGAGTTCCTTTTAGGTGTGAATCCATTAGAACAGAGGGAATTTAAGGTAAACGTGTTTGTGAAAAATAAGCCTAGTAACATTAGATTTACTTTATTGATGTGATTCTCAATAAAAATAAAAAGGTTAATAAAAAAAAAATCTTTTCACATATAATTTATAGACTCTCTAACAATCATATTTTAGTTGAAGGAAATAAATTTGACAATAAAATATATATCTACGATTCCTCAGAAAACATGGTCAACCGCTCGGTTGAGTTGCCAGTCTACGCAAACGGCCTGGCTCAAGTCGCTAATTTCTTATTTTGTTCACCTTTTCTAACCATTGCTACTCATTCAGTTTGTTAAAAAAATTATAGGTTATTTTAACAAGTTCTACTCTCTGTGATGTTTATATATGAAAAAACTAAACATTTTGTTGCAGAAATTAAAGAAATCCACTCATGCCCAAAGTAACCCTAAACAGGCAAGTCAACCAGCTGGTTGACCTGCATATCTGCTTCCTGATTGGGTAATTTGAAAAATATAACCTGAAATGTTGCTTAATGAAGAGGCAGGAACACAATTTTACCAACAAATAACTTTTTTGCAAATGCATTTCTTAGTGTGGAAGTCAAAGGGTTAAGTGCCCCCTTTATGAAAAAGTAGATGAACAATTTTTAACTTGCAAAAGGTTAGAATTAGGTTAGAAGTTTGTATTCAGATTTTGCATTACATGAGTAATTTATTTAATACCTCAAATGATTTTGAACACATTTAACAAATGTGTCATAGGTTTCCAGCTTCGGTGAGGAAGCTTCCATATTTCAGTGTGACAAATGTGGCGCCCCTTGTGGACAAAGCGCTACCTCTTATCTCTACCTGAGCAAATGTGTTTTCTTATAAACATTTTTTATTTTATTTCTTAGTCATTTCTTGTAACAATTTATCACTCACTGAATCTTTGCTGTTGAAAATGCCAGCAGAGTGTTTCTGCAGTGTGCTGTGATAAACTCTTGAGACCTACAGCAGTGGTTGAAAGCTTTAAAAATGAATCTTGTTGCTCCTGGTCACTTTTTTTATTTTTTTTTTTTAAAGAAATTTCGTCTATATTTCATTTACCAACCTCAAACTCATCACGGGAGCTTTAAGTCATAAAATCTGCAATATAGTCTACCTGTGATATCAGAACAACTGAAAAGCTTTTTCCTCAGATTTCAAAGTAAATAAAAAAAAAAAAAAAATCGATTTAATAGTTGAATTGAATACGTTTCTCCCTCTGGTGCACCATTGTTTTTCGTGTTTACCAAACCCAAATTTTGGCCATTCAAGCAGAACAAATCCGCACAGGGCAGCACATTCTGCTCCTCTCCATCCTAAAACAACCTGGAGGAGAGAGCGCGCAACTACATCCCTGCCTCTTTCCCCCCCCCCCCCCTCCTCCTCCTCCTCCTCCTCCTCCTCACAGCGTTGGTCGCCATCCATCCCCTCTCCTCCTGTACCATAACAGATGGTGAGAACAACATAGCATCCACCGGGCACCACAACAATAGACCACAGCATCCAGTCCGGACACCCCTGGCCTTGTACCATCATGCTCCTCGTGCAGGACTGCGCGCGGCATTGAGTGCCGTCGTGATTCATTTCACGCGGTACCACCAACACCACGGCCACGGAGGAACCTTCTTGCGACTGTTTGGGCTCTCCATCGAGCGGGGGAAGATGGCCGCTATGAAAATATTAACAGGCACAGGGCTCTGCTTGGCGTTCTGTGCTCTGGGGCTGCTCGCCATGGCGATTTGCACCGATTATTGGTACGAGACCGACGCGAGGAGGCACCGAGAGAGATGTAAAAACTATGCCAACAAGCGGAACGACCCGGGCTACATATACATTTCGAACCACAACCTGCCCCTCCAGATGCCTCCAAAGAGCCTGGAGAGGAAAGGTAACGGCCCAGATGCTGTGGCTCTCATCCGGGGGAAGCGGCACTTCCTGGCTGCAGCGTCCGCCATGGAGTCTCACTGCAACCGACAGTTTAACTCCACCATCTCCGGGCTGTGGAGAAAATGTCACCGCGAGGGCTTCGACCTGGAGACCGAGGACCTTATTTATAAAGGTAACCACGAGCAGTCTGTCTGACGCCTTGCTGTGTGCAGCAGGCCGTGATGCTCATCGATGAGCTCACACCTATCCTGACAAAAACAAAAAACAAAAAAAAAGACACACAGGGCCACAGTCTCACTGATTTGCGTTTTATATTTTAAGGTTTTGTCACGAGATCGAGATGCGTTTTACAGGCTTAGTGCTTATGGGTTTTATGGGTTTTGCTGTCCATGGTCCTGAATCAATCTCTCTGAGTCCCTCTCTTGAGATAATGGCCGGTCTGCTTTTGTATCCATTCCAGGCTATAACAGTTTTAACAACATCTGGAAATGATTATGTCTTATGGATTTGTTTCATTTTTCTCAACATGCAGACCCGATAGATTTAGTTGGATTTATTTTTGGGCCAAGCCCCATGTGAAGGGCTGCTCTTTCAACAACAAGGAGAAGCCATATTCCAGGCCTCACTCATTTATGCATCACCTGGTCCACACTGAGGTCCTAAAACTGAGCACATACTCAAAGAGGGGAAACACCCTGTGCACAAAGCACTGGTTTCTCAAGTTGTGTATTTAATGTCAAAGTAGAATAAGATGAGCCTTATTATACACCAGTGTAGCTGGGAAAAACAAAGACCAGTGTTCGACATTTTTCTCTGCCCTACACCTGCTCTGAATACAGCTAGAATAATGAATGGTGCTACTTTTTTAAGTTCAACCTCTGAAATCAGCAACTAATGGGCGATATCTATTTGAAATAAACAAAGGTCTACTCTCCAACAGTAAGCAACAGTACAAATATTTCATTTCTACTTTTCAAATATCAAACAGTGTACTGAAGTATAAAAATCTGTTAATGTTCACACAGACAGTAGGCAGAACGACAACAGGGTTGTGTTTTTGACTAGACTTCCAGATTTGAACACATAATGCAATGCCTCTGCAACAGCTTTATGAGGCCTGTTTTCTTACCATTACTTGGCATTGTCTCATGTAAACATGTGGAACATGCTTCATGTGTGTGCTTATCCACACCTTGTACTCAAGCCTTTACATGGATAGATGTCTCCAGAATAATATTATGGTCATATGACCAACATGTTTTAAACTACTGTCAGAGTGCGTTGTGCTTTTTCCACTCCATAATGAGCTCTGAATAGTCAAAAGGTGCAGACTTTGAATATGGGCTCATTTATAGGCAGGGTTGGTAATTTTCTCCAGATACCCTTTTTAAGATTTTGGTTGAAATTGTCTTTAGGTCCTGACAGAAATTCAAAACTCATGTGCTCTGAAAAAGGAATTAAGAAAATCTGTCATCTCTAGCAGTTGTAAACATGTAAAAACTTCAACCAATGTCTGCCACGAGGTACCAATTTGATGAACCAATCATGCCTCCCTGTTTCACTGCTCGTTCTCTACCCCTTGCATGCATTAGCCCACACTCAAAGCTCGTCACTGATGACAGAGTTTATACTGGGAGTTTGTCATTGGACGTTCTGAGTAGTAAAATAGTCACGTTTAGAAAAAAAATATTGTATTATGATAAAGTGTAGTGTTTACTTACGCTGAATGAGCACCCAGAGGGGAGGGGGTGGTTGTTGACGGAGCACTGAGGGAATGCTACTTTTCAAAATCATGCTAGTTATCGAGAGTTACCAAAGTTACCAACCCTGCCTTTAAG